TGTGTGACGTTAAGATGTCTATGGCTTCAGCGGTATCCTGAGGAGACGGGGTAGAGTCCGGGTTAAACGGGAGCGATGGTGGATCAGATTCAGCCAGGCTGATGCCCAGCGTGTGCCAATCCACCACAGTCCTCGTGACGGGAACGGAATCGGGAGCGCGACCGAGCTTCATAACGACGGGACGGTGGTCTGAATCTAACTCTGAAACTACTTCGATCGAGTGTAAGCGCAAAGTTACGTTTTTTAATAACGCTATGTCGAGTATATCCGGGCGATGCGCGATATTTAGCGGGTAGTGAGTCGGGGTTAGCGGAGCGATGATATCGAAGGCGAGATCATCGACTAACGCGTCAAGCCGCCTGCCATTCGGGGTTGTGGTGTGTGAGTTCCACCTGATGTGTGATACAATTTAGGTCGCCCGCCAGAATCGAGCTCCCCATGTCGAGCAGCGCCTCGATATCACTGCTTAGAACGATCTTATCCGGTGGAAGATAAACGGACGCGATAACGATCGGCGCGTGTCCCGTCAGTGAGATTCGGCACACTGATGCTTTGATATTAGCGAGCGCGGGAGGATCGAGCGGGAACCAGCGTACTGCGATTGCCATTCAATATCGTGTCTCAGTTTTTGCTTACTCTTATAAACTCACATTACATCACGATGATGTAAGTTTAACTCTCATTTCAAGTACATTCACATTATTTTGCATGATAATGTAGGATTTCCTTAAGAAAATTTTAAGGACTCTGTCATAATTTCGGTATTACAAAAAACCCTCAAACTCACCACACGAGCCCATGTGTTTAATGTGCAGTCTCCTCTTCTCTTTGCAAGCTATGTCCCGTAGAGCGCATACGCTGCTATAAGTTTTGTTATCGTTACCACAAATCTCTTCGGTCTCCTAAAAAAACAAAAATAGGGTAGGTAAGTCAAGCGATAAGCAGTATCTTGAAAATCAAGTTCAGGCGTTTAGGACCCAATAATTTATTTACTTCAGCCCACTTTTACATAATTTCATGCTTTCCAATTATTTTAAAAGTCATCGAAAACAAAAGAGCCCTTGGTCAACTTGATCATAAATAATGCTATTCGTGTTAATGCTACCTGTCAGGACACGATGGAGGATACCTAAATTTATAACTCTATTAAGCCAATTTCAGAGTCAAACACTATACGTTTATAAAAACAGAAATATTGTACTCACTGTTCCCTCTTCACAGTGTTTTGGACAAACGCAACTCGCTTCAGAGATGCCGTCGCTTTCACAGACCGCGTAATATTCACACTTCTTATTCTCGCAGCCGTCTGTAAAACAAAAAATCATTTATTAATACACTAATTGCTATTATAAAGAGAGTGAGCATGATGGTATCCCCTTAAATCGTACAACAACAAAAAATGCATAAGTAAAACTTCAATTTCTATTTTATTTTTGTGTTTTCCTATTTTTTTATTTGTAGATCTCGTCTTATTTCCTCCTAACATCAATTGCCCAGTCAATACAAAGACCATAACAAGCCAGGGTAATCTTATATCATCAGGTTGACGTCACTAGTTGTTAAAGGCCTACCATCAATGTACCTTGAAGAAGTATTTCAGGTGCCAATTCTCATCCAAAAGTAAATCATCACAAATTTCTTTAGATGGCTAATGCTCGAGGTACGGGATGAATATTTTAAATAAATACCACAAGATTTGGCACACTGTATCGACACCGCTAGTTCTAGGTAGGTAAAAGTAGGTATTCAACTATCATAGCATATCGCCGTCCACATTTCGAACCTGCATCCAAGTGATAAAAATATACATCTTAGGTATACAAGCTCATAGACAATACAAGGCTTCCTCAATAAAATTAAGTGTAGAACCTTCTAATCCTAATACGTAGGTACATTGTTATTATATTATTTGACAAATGTTGTAATACTCATAAGTGATTACATCAAAGAGGCAAAGTTAATATTTACATACATATATTACATAATATATTTAATATACTGGTGGTAGGACTTTTGTGAGTCCGCACGGTAGGCAGGTACCACCAACCGACCGATTACTGCCGTGAAGCAGTAATGCGTTTCGGTTTGAAGGGTGGGGCAGCCGTGGTAACTATACTTAGAACTTATATCTCAAAGTAGGTGGCGCATGTACGTTGTAGATGTCTATGGGCTCCAGTAACCACTTAACAACAGGTGGGCTGTGAGCTCGTCCACCCATCTAAGCAATAAAAAAATACGTACTGATAGGTATAATCCAAAGAATTCATTTTAAACTCACTGCAAGGTCCGTCGTACAAGACGTGCACGTCGCGTCTATGGCGACAAGCCTCTAGCTGCAGCTTGCACCGATTCCCGTAGGAGATGCCGTCAGAGCCGCAAACCGGTGCGAACTCGTTGGAGCAGCGTGGACACTGACACACGCCGCGCCCGCCCGACGCCACGCACTCGCCGCCGTGGGGACACACGCGATCGGCACACACACCGTTAGAACCTAACACGAAATATAAATGAAAAGGTATCAACAAAAAAAAACACTATAGACGTATCTAGCATGATATTTAAAAAAAACATTCAATTAATTTCATTTCAATAAAGCTAATTCATGTTCCACAAATAAGTGTTTAAACAACCATTTTCTATATAGAACTGTTCACTGATAAAGCTTTCTATAGGTACCTCAACTCAAATTTGATACTTTACGAAGTCGTCGTGGCCTAAAGGATAAGACGTCCGGTGCATTAGTGTGAAGCGATGTACCGGTGTTCGAATCCCAGGCGGGTACCAATTTTTCTAATGAAATACGTACTTAACACATGTTCACGATTGACTTCCACGTTGAAGGAATAACATCGTGTAATAAAAATCAAACCCGAAAAAATTTTAATTTGCGTAATTACTGGTGGTAGGACCTTTTGTGAGTCCGCACGTGTAGGTACCACCATCCTGTCTATTTCTGCCGTGAAGCAGTAATGCGTTTAGGTTTGAACGGTGGAGCAGCCGCTGTAACTATACTGAGACCTTAGAACTCATATTTCAAGGTGACTGGCAGCGTTTACGTTGTAAATGTCTATGGGTTCCGGTAATCCAGCCCACCTAGGGCTGTGAGCTCGTCCACTCATCTATGCAATAAAAATTTATAATAAAAACTTTACCACAAGCTCCGGCGTGCAGGACCCTCAGTTCTCTGCCAAGAAGACATGCAGCCCGTCGGAGTTCGCACTCACTGTCGTGGGTTCTAGAGTCAGAGCCGCATACAGGGCGCAGAACTGGTTCACAGGACGGCGGACACGCACACACCGCTCCTCCGCCTTCTACGCGGCACTCTGCACCGTGACGGCACTCCACTTCGGCACACGGATTCACTCCTAAAATAAAAGAAGACTGAAAGCGTAAGCTAGAGATCTTATCGAGAATTTAAGTAATACCCACCTAAATAAATCGACGTGCTATGAGCTCAAACTTATACCTCCATCACGTCTTACTAAGCTTATGGCCTTGAGAGGCCATTTCAGCATAACCCTAACAAGTAGGTGAGCTCACGGGGCTCAAACCTGACGACGTTGCTAACACTAAGCTTAGCGAAAGTAGTGCTTCGCAGAATCTACCACCGAATCGGAAACGCGACCCACCGAGAAGATCCGGCGAGAAACTCTGTGTGCAAGTGTGCTGTTCTGTGGGTTAATTTGCTCGCCGAGCCCTTCGTCGCAAGCGCAGGGTTCGACGAGAACGATGACCGGGTCATATCCAGTAGCCAACCGTGATGACAATGCAATTGTTTGTAGGAGCTTTACTGAGTTTTCTTTCTTTTTTTAATGCTTAAATGTGTGGACGAGCGCACGGCCTACCTGGTATGAAGCGGTTAGCGAAGCCCATAGTCATCGACAACGTAAATGTCGCCACTCACCTTAAGACATGAGCTCCAAGTCTCTGCTTTACAGTACAACGGCTTCCCTACCCTTCAAACAGAAACGCATTACTACTTCGCACATACACTAATAGGCAGGATAACAGCACATCTGAGATAATCTCAGTACACATCGCAATAAACTGAGAATTTCGGTAATTTTAAATTCGAATATTGTTGTTAACTGTACTAAGTTAAAGCTTTGACAATTTGTTGTTCCTAAAGTCGTTTCAACATGCATACTTAGGCACATCTCATACATTTAACGCTACTATCGTTCTCCTTACCGGAACTGCACTGTCCCTTGAATATAATTTTTAGCTGTTTCCTAGCACGACAACTTTCACGGTGCATTTGGCATTCGTTGGAGTAGGTTTTCCCGTCCGATGCACAGACCGGTGAAAATTCTAGGGGGCAGGGCTCTGCGCACCGGCACGAAGGAGCCCTACGCTCATCTAGCTGGCACACTTCTGGGTCAGGGCAGGTTACACCAGCACAAGGATCTAAAACATGTTAAAATTGATCGCGGAACCTAATAATATTCGGGTGATATTCGAAACATTCCCGCGTGTAGATACTACAACATCATTAGCAATGCCAGAGGCACACACAAACTGCTGCCTAATCTATACTAATATTATAAAGCTGAAGAGTTTGTTTGTTTGAACGCGCTAACCTCAGAAAATACCAGTCCGATTTGAAAAATTATTTCAGTGTTATGTAGTCCATTTATCGAAGGCTATAGGCTATATAACATCACGCTAAAACCAATACAAGCGGAGCACCAATAAAGAATGTTTCAAAATGGGGGTTATTTTTACCTGTTGAGAACTTCCGCTGCGTGCGCTGCAGAAACGATTAAAGTTTCGCTAAAATAATGTATGACAGAATTGTTCCCCTTTAAAAGATCTAAACAAAGTCTGCGACAGCATATGTCTATATGTTAAGGTTGGCTCACTATAACGTTTTTTATGCTAACCAAATTTGTTCTAAAATAAAGCATTATTTGTGAAGTATTACACGCGGACGAAGTCGCAGGCAAAAGCTAGTAAATACTATATAGTAATTACATTACTCACCACACTTTCCGTAATATTTGAAAGTGATGTTTGTATTGGACTCGCAAGCAGCTCTGCGCATCTCACATTCACCGGAGTAGTCTCGAGCGTCACTTGCGCAGAGCGAACGTGATCCTTCGTGATCGCCGTAGCTTGGACAAGTTGTCGGACACTCGCAATCGTAAGAACGACCATCCGCTGTGGGTCGGCATAACGCTCCCGGCCCGCAAGCTACTCCAAGACACGGATTAGGCACGTCTAAAAGAATGACATCCAATTCAATCTTATCACTGCCAAATATATTTTTTTATTGCTTAGATTGGTGGACGAGCTCAGACGGCCCCATCCTTCAAGCCGAAACGCATTACTGCTTCACGGCAGAAATAGGCAGGGCGATGGTACCTACCCGTGCGGACCCACAAAACGTCCTACCACTAGTATTTACACAAAATCAAATTTTGCGGGCTTGATTTTTATTACACGATGTTATTCCTTCACGGTCGAAGTCGGTCGTAAACATTTATTATGTACGTATTTCATTAGAAAATTTGGTACCCGCCTGGGATTCGAAAACCGGTGCATCGCTCAACACGAATGTACCGGACGTCTTATCCTTTAGGACACGACGACTTCAAACATACTAACACGACAATCCCATTAAAAAGAATTAAAACACAAAATTTTACTGGTCGCATCGCAAGTATGACGTACTGGTTGTACAAGTTGAGTCAAAAAAAGAGAAAAAAAAAAAAGCCTTGTCATAAATACTGAGACATGGGAAAAAAAAAATTATATTGCAAATAACATGTATTACTTTTACAGTGTGTTAGTTTAATACATAAATATAAAACAATTTAAAGTATAAAAAGCTTATTCGAAGTGGTCTCAATTGGTTGCAATACAGTCCTTTAAACGTTGAGGCCAGTTATCAATAGAAGCACGCACTCTTTCCATGGGAATTTTTTTCACTGCCAATCGTACGGATTGTTTTAGGGACTCCAAATTATCATGGCGTTTAGAGCAAGCCGTACTCTCTAAAACTGACCATAAATCATAATCCAGCGGATTAAGATCGCGACTAGACGACGGCCAGTCTTCAGCTCTGATGAAGTCCGAAACGTTCGTTTCCAACGAAGACTGCGTAGACCGAGCTTTATGACCTGGCGCCGAGTCTTGCTGGAAGGACCATTCTTGATTATTGAACATTGTGTTGTTAAGGGGCTTCACTACCTTCTCAAGAATGGTATCTTGATACACTTGTGCCGATGTTTTGATACCTTTTTCACAAAAGTATGGCTCAGTCACTCCTTCATAGCTAATACCCCACCAAACCGTCACTGAAGTCGGATAGTGCTCACGTTGCACTCTGTCGACTAATTGGGAAGCTTCCTTAGAGCTTTGAGCATAAATACGGTCATTTTGTTTGTTAAAATGTTGCTCAATAGTAAAAAAATTCGCATCCGTAAACAATTTTTTTCTATGACCTCCCTTTTCGTACCGCTTCAGTAGTTGTTTCGATTTTACCACCCTATTCTCTTTTAAATTATCAGTTAAGAAATGACCAGTACGTCTCTTATAGGCTGCAAGTTCTAAGTCATCTTTTAAAATACGCGACATGGTTCTTGGTGCTATCTTCATCTCCCGAGATAAAATCTTTTGCTTTCGGACAGGATTTCTTCGAATTCTTTCCCTTACTGCTTTGACCACCTTTTTCGTACGAACACTACGTGGACGGCCAGATATTTTTCTGTCACAAACAGAGGAGGTCTTAGTGCACCTATTAATAGCCCGGTACACAAACATTTTACTAATACCAAGCGTATGGAGAGTTTTAAAAATTGCATTTGGCTCCATACCTACTTTGTGTAATGCAATCACAGCAATTCGGTTCTCTTTATCATCCCACTCCATTTTAATATCGCAAAATATTGTACAATGTATTGGCGCCAAAATGAGAAAACTCAATGAGCAATCATATAAAAATTACAGATTCCAAATTCAAATGTAATATTTTGTTTATTATTAATTGTAACAGTATTTATGGCCAGATTAAGTATATATGACAGCTACCCCATTCTTCAAACCAACGAAGGTACAGCTGTCATGCCATTCATTTGAAACTTTTACCTAATGTCTCGAAGTGGATGGCCGCATTCACAGCGTTATGTCTATATACACTTAGTTAATTAGTGATATCTATGAAAAATAAACCTGTGCTGAGTGAGGCCTGCTTACGTACAAATGAAGAGCTGTAAAGGGACAACTGTCCTTAATGTCCCTACAACAGGCAATTCGACACTAGCTACAGAATTCAGGAACGGAGCAGAGCGGACGTGACAATGTGGTCTGCCGCCCATCCTGAGACAATATTGAAATAACGGTATCGTACCGAAATGCGTAACCGCATCACATGCGCAAATTGGCAATGGCATATCGTCGCTGTCAAACCATAATCTGTTATGTCCAAAATTATTTTTATATTATTTTGGATTAACGAGCAAAAACATTTTCGTATAAAAATTTATATGAAGGTGAATTTTTAAGAACTATCTCAAATGAAAGCTATAGATAAATATTAAAGCTATAGACACATTGCAGTTTTTATTTACTAATACGGTAGATAGAGCTGTGAACTATACGAAAAGGTCAAAAAGTAAAAATCTCAAAAGGTGCACATAGCAGATTTTGGTTTGACAACGACGATAATGCCATTCATTCTATTGGACTGAAAATATGTATCACGATGAACTCACCACTTGGAAAAAGATAGCAGGTACGAGCAGCTCCAATCAACGTGAGAAACAAAAGGATGTGGCAAGTAAACATCATCCAGCCAGCGAGCTGCATTCGCGCTCCTCTTCTAACACCATCACACATCCTATTTACTTATTACACCATTGGGTACCGAGAATGTTAATAAAAATTAATATTGGAAAGTTAACTGTTGTGGCTTATGTTAAATCTCTGAGAAAAATATTAAATAACGACCCAAACCCTTAAAAAAGGATTATGGGCAAAAACGGATAAAAAATGGATTTTACCAACTGTATTATAATCAATCAAATTTGTCTAAAAATGTGTATGTTGTGTTTATGTTATGTTTTAATATATTATATTTATTAACAAAAAAAGTGTATTCCGTATACTTGCAATACCTAACATAGCTTATAAATATACTAGAATTTGAAATTTCACATTACTCAAAACTAACGTTAACATGACTTGATTACAATAGAAGAATACAATGTCCCAGAATAAAATACAGATCAATACTTAACAACTTTGAAACGTTCGAAGTATTTACTTTTAATCATAAACGTGACACGTTAGGCGCTTTAAAACTTACCATCTTCCCTTATTATTTTAGTAATTAAAGAACCAACCGAAGACTACGCTTGAAAATTCATTGGTACTCAACGATTCAATAAAAACATTATTTAGCTCTAATAAACTTTAATAAAACCCAATGTAGCACCCCCGAGAACCGAGGATGCTGGGGAGCAACTGAGTAATGGAAAATTGAATGAACTCCTTTGGACATGCGCGAGGCGATCCAAGTATGTAATAAAAAGCAGGTACGATCCGGATTAGGAACATAATTACGTCAGCTGCGCAGGTTCTTAAATTTTATTTGGAAGACAAATAAAGCGATTTCGTTCAATGAAAATATTATTTTCTTTAAAAAATTAAGATTTCCTAAATGGTAATTTTCACTAGGCATTTTTCATTTAGGTTACGACCTACCTGGTGTTAAGTGGTTACTGGAGCCCATTTACATCACCTTCAGACAATAGATCGAAGTTTTAATTGTATTGTATAATGGCTACCCCGCTTTTCTAGTCGGAATGTATGACTGTAGACATGAAATAGGCAGGATGGTAGTATCCTACCCATGCTGGCTCTCTTAGACAGCCTACCAATAGTTAATATTCTAATTATTCTCAATCTCTAAATATTCTCGAAACTATCCCTTAAATTATATTAAGTAACTTTTTATGTTTTAAAATTACTTAATAGATGCTCAGGCCTCTAAAACGCAGACATAATATACGAACAGGACCGGTTGTCTTAAAAGACCAACTGGGCACATCCAAATAAATGTTTCTATATTTCTGTTTTTATTCAAAGACTTAAGTTATTTACAAAAAGAAACTAGGGTTACGACTCTTGTTTCACGTTTTTAATCGGTAGTTATCTATGTTCATTTTATTTGTTCGCATTCCAAATTACAATGCATTGAATGAAGGTTGAAAGAAGATAGCCCACCTGGCCGGATCTTCTCAGTGGGTCGCGTTTCCGATCCGGTGGTAGATTCTGCAAAGCACTGCTCTTGCTAGGGCCAGTGTTAGCAACATTCCGGTTTGAGCCTCGTGAGCTCACCTACACGTTAGGGTGAAGCTGAAATAGCCTCTCAAGGCTATCAGTATAGGTAGGAAAAAAGAAAGAAAGAAGGTAATTAACGCATAGGTTACAACCACTTTTTGATTTCTATAAAAGTCTACTTTGAAATTGAGACCACAACCAAAGCAGGGGTAGTTACAGCCAGTTGTTGCAACCTTAACAACATTAATTACAAGGATTCCGATAATGTCCCCACGATTAACTTTATACAATTGTTCCTCTTTGGATCGAGAGTATTAAATTTCATAGTGAATAAACTTCCCGCCCGCAGCTTCGCCCTTATTTACTAGTCTATACCACGTTCGAAGTCGTCGTGGCCTAAAGGATAAGACGTCCGGTGCATTAATCTTGAATCGATGCAACGGTGTTCGAATCCCGCAGGCGGGTACCAATTTTTCTAATGAAATACGTACTCGACAAATGTTCACGATTCACTTCCACGGTGAAGGAACAACATCGTGTAATAAAAATCAAACCCGCATAATTATAATTTGCGTAATTACTGGTGGTAGGACCACTTGTGAGTCCGCGCGGATAGGTACCACCGCCCTGCCTATTTCTGCCGTGAAGCAGTAATGCGTTTCGATTTGAAGGGTGGGGCAGCCGTTGTAACTACTGAGACTTTAGAACTTGTATCTCAAGGTGGGTGGCGCGTCTACGTTGTAGATGTCTATGGGCTCCAGTAACCACTTAACACCAGGTGGGCTGTGAGCTCGTCCACCCATCTAAGGAATAAAAAAAAAACGTGGGTAGGTTCTAAGCAGTGGGATGTAAGGCAATCCACATTCTTTCCTGAGGCTTATTATACTAATACCATACCAAATTTCTTCAAAATCGGCCAATACGAAATTTGTGCTCTACCGCAATCAACAGGTTTCAAAAATGGTCAATTATTTATGATGATGGAGAGTATTCTGCGATTCCTCTTTACAAGCTTGAAACTGATCTCCAATGATGGAAAAATACTTTTTTAATCGCCAAACTCAATCTGAGTATTAGCACCCAAAATTTGGTTTCTTGTCGATGAAAACAACTTCAGCTTGATTTTAAATGACCTTTACTATGCAGTCTAAACTATACACACAGGTAGCATAACCCATAAAAACCGAGTCACGTGTAACGTGCAATCGATATGAAAGCTAAAATTAAAAATGACACGACACCTGCCTTCTATAGATTCCTTGTATTTCAACGGGAAATCCCTTTAAACAGGTAACCAAGATTTAAAAACTAGGTACGTAGGTTACGCAGAAAATAAAGTCATAAGACTGCAATGATTCGGCCCTATGAAAAAAACTTGTACCTAGGATTGTCATGTCTCCACAAACGATTCCCTCCCTGGACGAAATATTAACATAATGAATTATTGTTGTGCCTGGTGTTGCGCTAACGATCGATAACATTTTAATTTCCAAAGAATTGTGCGCCGTGAATTGACGCGTTTGCGCTAACAAGTACTATAGCCAGTATATCAACGCAATTGAATCTCCATTGTCCCAATTGAGTCTGAAATTCTCGCAATGGCATGCATGGTGGGCGGTGGCCACTAAGCTCATCTCATCTGCTTTATCACCTCAGTTACCAAAATAAAAAAGAACATTTCACAAACCATTGGCCAAAGTTCCACTATTTTTAATGTTTCGGTTTATCATTTCATAAAACAAAATAATTATGTATATGCCAAAAACTATAATCGTTAAATACACAAATAAGACATCCTGACACACTCACATTGTGGGACAAGATAGAATCGATATATTTTTTAAATTGATTTTCTTAAGGACTAGGGAGAGGTTAGGATAGGTTTTACGAAATATAGTTTCAACTTTAATAATTTCTTTATTTGCTTATCAATTATGGTTTTATACCATTCAATACACTTTCACTCCATTCCATTTATTTATCCGAGAATAACTTTACATAATATAAAAATAGGACTGTTCGAATCCATAGCAGGACTCAGAAATGCAAATATAATGAGAAATTAATTTACAAATACGTACACTTCTGTACATTGCCAGAAATGCAATGAAAAAAGATTATGTGCCTCTTTGTTTAAGCTATACACATTATTGATTGCACATGATTGTATTACATGCATTCCTAGAAACAATTACTAACTTTGTACATTTTATTATCAACTATGCATATCACCTGTCTGTCAAATCAATTACTCAATTATAATGATAACACAGTATTGAATAAATAAAAAACAGACTACACAAAATACTTAAACCGTAAAATTGGCGACACATTAGAAATTAATTTAAAATTATTGGTAATTGTCTAAAATATGTACAAAAACAATCGACTGATACGACAATAAATAAATTTACTGTACAGTCTCACATAAACACTATTTATTTATTAATCAGTTCTGAACCAGCGCTTCGCTTATCACATAGATAAAAAACACAGCACATGTCACTTACACTTTAAGCAACGGCTAAACCGATGTCCAAAGAAATAACTACGGACTATTTACATATATTATTTACAAATTATCGGCAAATAACGCACAATCCTCATGTTGGTGGTGCGCGTCTATCGTAATCTCTTCTATAAACTTCACGCTCGTACTCCCGATCATCGTAGCCATATTCAGGCTGTGAATATCCTCTCCAGTCGTCTGCGTAAGGCCTCACAGGCGGAAAACCCATACCACTAGCCATGGTTGTTGTGCTATCATAATAGCCACCGTATGGACCTGCCATGCCACTGAATCCATACCTACTGAAAATTTACGTTTTTTAATATGGGGAAGTTATATTAGAACTACATATTATATGAAAACAACTACTACTTTATAAATACTATTTATTTATATAATAAGTTCTTGTAATATTTTTTCTGATTTAATGAGTTCCCAATATTTCAGGACGATCATAGGCGCTTGCGTGTTAAAATATATGAGAATTAACTAAAATTAAAAATTGTGGTAATTTTCTGTTTAATAGCACTATAATATAGAAAACTATGTAAGTTTGAAACAGTTTTTCCTTTACACAACATCCATCGGTGTTTAGTTTTAGTAACATCAATGGGCTCATCAACACAGAATAGAAATTATAGGCCTGGTATTATAGGTCGGGATAAGGTTTGGTGGGAGAGTTAAGTGTTAAATAAAGTACAAATATTACTACTACAAAGAGGAAGTAATGCATAGTTGTAGCAGATTTCGCAGCAAAAATAGTATTATTTACCTTCTTTTATCGTGTTGTCTCTGATTGCGGTCTCCGCGGTACTGTCGGGGCCCGGGATAGGGCGGCGGGGTCCAGGCGGGGTGTGCAGGGTGCGAGGGGTGCTCGACGTGCGCGTGCTGCGCCACATAAGGCCGAGCCCGCGGCCCCCCCGCGCCGCCGCTGTCCCGCCGTGTCCGCGAACGGTCTCGGTCCCTTTCGCGATCTCGATCGCGTTCTCGGTCACGATCCCTGTCCCTTTCTCGATCACGATCCCTCTCTCGTTCCGACCGACTCCGTTCTCTGTACATCAAATCGTCTTGCTTCAAGTCCCCATCTTTATACTTGCGATCCTTGTCTCTGCGTTTAGTTCTGCAGGGTTGCAAGCGATATGGTGTGAGCATAGTGAGATGGAAATGTAACTGAACCAACACACCAATACTTATGCATGAGAAGCTTGCACCGAAATAATAGCGTGAAATTTAAATTGCCAATTGAAATACATAAGTAAAATGTTACCTCAATTTTTACATAATTTAAGCTCCAGGCAACAAATTAATAATTAAATTAAACAATAATCAGCTAAGGAAAATTCTGTCTATGTTCAGATAAACAGTGTAAAAACAAAACCCACACAAAGCAGTATAAATTTACTGATTATATAAAAATACAAATGTACAAACATTAAGTTTCTTCTTTTCTTTAAATGACAAAGAATACTCTCATAGTAATCTTTGAAATTTCAGTTGAATTATTTAATTAGGTATATTTTATTATTAATCTATTTCTGGATTTCCCGTTACAATGAAAAAGCAGGTGAAATTGATCACAGAAAATCTTTTCATGAATAAGTTAATGCAGAGTAGTCAATCAACAACATACCTTTCGTGGCGTTTATTATCA